AGTATTTGTCTTTTTGTGATTGGCTTATTTCACTTAGCATAATGTCCTCAAAGTTCATCCACGTTGTAGCATGTGTTGGAACTTCCTCCCTTTTTAAAGCTGAATATTTCATTGTCCATATACACCACATTTTGTTTATCCATTCACCCATCAATGGACACTTGGGTTACTTCCACGTTTTGGCTATTGTCAATAACGCAGCTATGAACATGAATGTACCAATAGCTCTTCGAGACTCTGCTTTCAATTCATTTGGATATACACCCAGAAGTAGAATTGCTACATCATATGCTAATTCTATGTTTAATTTTTTAGGAAATGCCATACTATTTTCCATTGAGGCTATACCATATAGTGTTTTTAATAATAATAATAGCAAATGCTTTCATGATACTGTTAAGTGAAAAAAGGAAGCTATTAATTATATAGCTCACATATAGCATATAACCTCAACTATGCAAAAACAAAACAAAACAGGAGAAAAGGTGAAATAACTATATGCATAAAACTGTTAACCTGTTAATTACAGTGGTTTCGACTGGATATTGGTTAAGACTAGACTTATATTTTCTTCCAAATATTATACCTGACTAACTTTCTATGATAAGCATATACTACACAGACAATCAAAAAAAAAGGATGTGGGGGAGCCAGCTGAGTAGCTCAGCTGGCTAAGAGTGCGAGCTCTGAGCAACAGGGTCGCTGGTTCGATTCCCACATGGACCCGTGAGCTGCACCCGAGCTGAGCTGCTGCTGAGTTGCCAACAGGTGGCAGGATGGCTCAGCTGGTGAGAGCAAGTGCTCCTAACCACAAGGTTGCCGGTTCGACTCCCGTATGGGATGGTGAGCTATGCCTACCTGCAACTAAGATTTAACACGACACCGTGAGCTCAGCTGCCCTGAGCTGCCGCCAGTCGGCCTGATGGCAACTGGACTTGGAGCTGAGCTAGCTGCGCCCTCCACAACTAAGATTGAAGGACAACTTGGCTGTTTCCCTTCCCCAACTCCCCAACACTGTTCCCCTTCCATAATTCCCCAATAAAATCTTTAAAAAAAGAAAAAGAAAAAGAAAAAAGAAAAGAAGATGAAAAAACTTTAGTAGGACACATTTTTCTGTCTGGTCATCACATCATCCATTGTACTTAATCTGCGAGTGCATTTAGTTCACCACATTTACTAAAAGGAAAACACACACACACACACACACACACACATATATACACACACACACTCATATTTTTTTCCTTTTATAACCAAAGGAGACACTACATAACCAAATTGATTTCCAAAAAATTTTAATCCCGATATAATAGTAATTTTCTCAGTTAGAGTAAATAAATCTTTTCTCCACGTAGTCCAACTTGACAGGGCTTTGAAAAATCTTTTTCTATTCAGGCCCTGGGATCTAGCTGGGACACTGCAGCTGGACCCTGCAACCAGCAAAGGCACAGACAGGGCCACGGTGAGGGACTACGCTAATTCCTCTCTTACGGCGCCCACCGCCGGCCTCTCCAAGCCAGCAGCTGACCCATATTCTCACTCAGTTTCTGGCCTGGGTTAGCTGAGCTTTCCTTCAGTAGTTGGTAAACCACCTTTGCACCATGAGAGAGACAGTAAACTGGATTGAGGAGGGAGAGGTGGAGAAAAAAGGAGAAGGAAGGGACGTGCAGGATTAATGAGCTGATTTCTATGAAGGCTTTGACATCTTGGAATGAAAAGCGGCCTGTAAGAGCAGAAGCCCAGTCCTCTACTCAGGCCATGTTGCCAGCTGGCCATTCATCACCAAAAATTCCCCAACAACTCCATGGCTATTGCTTAATCACCTCATATAAATCCCTATTAATCTTGCAAAGTCAAAACACAAATATATGACAAAAGTCTTTATTTTATGTGCCCTAATTTCAGGGTCAAAATTTTAAAAACTGAATCGGTTACCCAATGGTTCCAATGAACTTAAAAAAAAAAGCAAAAAACAAAAAACCTTCTTTGGGGATAAAAGGACAAATAAATGACACCCTCTCTAACGTTTTTTTACTTAACTGGACTGAATGAACCCAGGCTAAGGATCAAATAAACTGTAGAAGGAAAAAGGTGTTGGTGCTAAAATTTAAATCAACACTTTTTTTTTTTGCAATAACATTAATGTTTCTGTAGCTTATACTCAAAAGATACAGGAAGTCCTTAGTGGCCACAAAGGCACATTGATTCCTCTTTCATGTGTAAATTGTTAGGGACAGAAAGGAGCCTCTTCAGCAGTGGAATTTGGAATACTGTGCATTGTAATGTGTTTCGTGGGAAAGGCAGGTGAGAATGTGAAGACAGGGGTCGGCTTTGAGAAAGGCCCACCAGGATGCCGAAACGGCTCCTGTGAGCATGGAGTTCTCAGTGGAGACAAACACCTCCTAGGCAACACTCTCAGAAGACCTCAGATGGGCAGATCAGGCGTGGGACAGGCCGAAGCTTCACCATAATATCCAGTGCTACACTTTCCTGTTCAGGAGCCTCAAGGTTATTGCATCAGTGATGTGGATGATACAGAAAAAGTGATCCATGGCTTTGGTATGTGTTGTGCTCAGGCAGTGTATCTTCCTCCCAAACTTTATTTTAGGCTCTGAACACATCCTGATGAATACGGTAAAAGTATGTTGGGGAGCAAGAGGAAGCCCAGTGTTAGGAACCATTTACAGACCACCCACGAAGTGTCAAGTTCACACTTGGGATAATAAAGTGTTGACTGTACTGGAAACATTAAAAAAGTGGCTTTCCTGGACTTTCGGCAAGGAAGGTGGAAACCCAGTGAATTGCAGTGATTCATGCCTTTGTTTTCTAGGCCTGAAAAATCATGGAGAAAAATCAGAGAATGTGGGTGGGGTGATGATGATGAAAAGCCGGATTAGAAAATTGCAATAGGAACCACAGGGAAGGTTAAAAGAGGCCAAAAACGACTTCTCCAGCTGAAGAGGAGGCTTACGGCAGCTGTGTCATCCATCTTCAGGCATTGCGCAACATGAAGGTCCGTTTAGATGACTGGCCTGTTACTGTTACTCTAGCGCCTTCTTCCCATCCAAACAGAAGAAACAAGCTCATGAAGCCAGTGGAGGACGAATTTCTATGAGACCCATGAAGGGGTACCAAATTACGGGGACAGAAACTCCTTCCTTATAGTACTTTAGGAACAGGAGCTGTAGGGTTCTGTCTTGGGACAATCCTGCCTAGAAGCAGGGGTTTCAATAGCATGGTTTCTGGAGAGCCCTGACTTCCTAATCCCTAGAAATAATAATAGCTGGAGGACCTGGCCTAGAAATTGGTAAACAGATGAGAGCACAAATGTGATCAGAATTCCCTGGTCTCCTGAAAAAGGCATCGGGGAGAATTTGTCTAAAAGCCACACAGGAGGCAAATGATACTAAGCTCATGGAAGTAGTTTATGGTCAATCAACTGCTACTCTTTAAATAAAAGAGAGAGAGAACGAACATTGGACTAAAAACGAAAGGTTAACCATTACTTTATCGGCATTTCAGACACTAGAGAATTTCCCCATCAATATCCCTGTCCAAAGCTATAGGTGCTCAGACAGAAACGGAGACTCACATATCCACACACTGAGGAATCCATCACTGGCTCCCTTTTACCCAACAGTTTCCTTTAGGAGTTTTCACTGTATTTCTTCCAAGTATTTCTTCCTCCAAGTATTTCTTCCTCTGTCTCATTTTATGCCCTATGTACCTCATACTTTAGGTCCCTGAAGAGCTAACCTCTTTACAGTGCTCCCCACTCACCGTGCCATTTCATGCCACCATGTTTTTGCCTATGAGATGACCTAAGCCTGGAATGCCCCTCCCTGCCCTGGCCACTTGGCAAAATTCTACTCATCCCTTCAAGACAGGTTCAATGTCGGCCCTCCCCTACCCCTCCTCTGGCCTGTACCTGTACTTAGTACATATATTTATCACACTTATCATATTGGATGAAAAATATTTATTTACACATCTTTCTCACCTCTTAGATGTGAGTTCCTCGTAGCCAGGACTAATTCTTCTATGTCTTCATCTCTGTATCTCCTAACACAAAGGCTAGTGTGGAGCCTGTGCTCAACAATGTTTTGTTGAATTACTATGATTTTCAGGCCTCATACTGCCCATCACTTGCCTTGCTAAAATAAGGTTGGGGAGCCCAATAAAAATGAACAAAAGCATCTTTTTTGAAAACTAAAAAAGGGGCTGCTATATTAGACAACCAATATACTGATTCTTAATCAAATGTAATACACTATCGCATGGGATGTGGCACCATGTGGTCCTCCGCTGGACCTGCTCCGCTGGAACTCACAGAGGACATACGGGGGCAGGGAGCCTGCAGTAACACTGCAGAGCCTTGCAACATGGGAGTCTGAACACAGTGTCACAGAGAGGATTTCCTACGTAATACATGAGAAATTCTTTTACATAAGAAATGTTCTAAGTGCTAGACTAAACTAACAATGGCAAGGGTGAAAAAAATGTAGTATGTATGGATCTCTCTCTGCCTTGCTTATTCAAGCTACTCTGCTCTATGTTTAAAATGGCAACTTCAACGTCTTCTTCTTTACACCCCATCTGTCCCTCAGTGCCTGCTCGAGTCTTATACCGATCTGTAATCTCTGAGTTGCCACAGCACCTAAGAGTTTGTACCACATGATTTAGTCAATTACTGCCTTTCATTGTTATAACAGCTAACACAGGGCAGGAATGAATAAAAACAAGCTGATTGGTGGACAGATAAAAAGCCATATTACATGCCTCCCCCCCCAACCCCGCAGCCACACAGCAGTTTTAGAAAAATTGTCAAGAAAATATTTTTCTTTCTTTACCACAACCCAAAGTTCTAAAAAGATAAATACTCCAATAAGTTTAGAAAACTCATGCCAATGATGTTTAAAACCCCCAAAACTAGAAACAGCAATTCTCCAGTGTGCTCCTAACCTCTGATAACTCCATGCTCACAGGGGGCTTTAACATACCTCTTAGCCAGCCAGAGTTTGGCTTGGGTACAAACAGCAACGTCAGCCAGCTCCTGCTGAAAGTGTGCATTCATTCTGTATTTGGAGTCTGAGAAGGCTTGTAACAAATGAAATACCTAAACCAAAAAAGAGAAAACGAAATATCCTGCTGTGAAAATATATTTTTCCTAGAGGCAAGTGCCTCCCTTTTCGGTTTCCTCAAAGAAAACAGACACCTGTAGCATAGAACATGGCTCTGGTCTCTTTGAAAAATGCCTGTTGGTTTTGGAGGGCGCAGCAAGTGGCAAGAAACCCAGGTCCTGAATCCATACCTGTGCTCTGGGTTCTGCGCACAATTCCAAAACAAGGTGACTATGCTGTGATCAGACGATTATCTGGTACAAGGGTTTATTAGTTACAACCTATAAATTCATTTTAGCGAAGAAATGCAAAAACCTTTCTCTATGCTAGCAGTCTCATGCAAAAAAAAAAAAAAAAAGTACCTTTTAAAGCCAAAGTCTGAGAATCTAAACTGGTTTACGTGTCTGGGTTTATCAGAATAGGCTTGGCCAAAGAAGCAGGCCACAATGACCTTGCCTTTGCAAATACTGCACGGTGATGTTTGTAAACTAGATATTTTATAGCAGATCTTCACTGAGATGTCAGAAGTGGAGGCAGCGATGCAGACGCGTCCTACTTTCTTACTCTTACATGACATTATATATTAGAATTAAGCAGAGACAGACAAATCCTGCAACATGAAGGCCACCAGTTCCAGCAGACACATGACACAGGCTGTGTGTGTGTGTGCGCGCGCGCGTGTGTACACACATGTTCATGTACATGTCTTAGATTCACACTCAGATATGACATCAACAAGCCTTTGTGAGGAGAACAAACCTGTAGCAGAGAAAGTGGATAAGGGTGTAGATGAGATGCTCTGACCTCAGCTAGTGCCAAGGAGAAAGACGCTTGTCAGAGAAATCCTTCAGTGGCCCTTATCTAAATCAAGGAGGGATGGGGGAGCAGTGAAAAGCCAGTGCAGATAAACACATCAAAACTTTGAAAGTCTATTTTAATAACCAGTTTGTTTTCTTTCCCTATTGTATCCTTCACCCATGCTGCTGATGTTTCTTTCTAAGCAACAAGATTCAACTTTTCCTTCTCTTTCTCTCCTGTTAATGGTGGACATCATTGAAAATTAAATGTTGGAGTAAAGAGAAAAAGCAAGAGGCAAAGATAAAAGAGACCCTGAGTCATCAGACTCTAAGCAGGTGTGACTAGGCGGGTTTTCTTGGGTCAAACATCTGCAATTACCAACCACAAATATATGCTGAGCACCTTCTGTTTAGAGAATCAGAAGAAATTTTGATTAACTTACTGTATGTAACTGCTACTTTTTTTTTTCTAAACAGAAGTAATTGTACAGGAGAATGCACACATGTCCCAATGTGGAAACTAAAAAATCCTTTCTCTAATAATGGATCTGTTATTTCAGAAGCAACAGATCAAATATCAGCACTTCACCACACTTCCACAGGGACCCAAACCTCCCCGAGTGAAGTCTGGAGAAAGGGGTTTGGCTGGGGCTTCTGTCATCTGTGGTGACTGCCAGGGTGAAGAAAACATACCTCCCCTCTGCCTGGATCCTACTAGCCTGAAAGAGTTGGCAATGCCTTTGGGCCTCGCTTTCCTTTCTCCACAGCTACACAAAACCAACCACCGGGGCTTTTCATGGTGGCGCGGGATCATAATTAATCAGCAGACACCAGCAAAATACATGACTTTGGAATTTACTTGTAAAGAAAGCTGTGAGATTTTCAAATGCCTCTCATTTAGAAGCCATCACTTCAAAAATAACTCCTGATGGATGTTTAAACTTAGCCCTATATTTGCTCACCTTACTTGGCAAAAACAAGGCTGTTTTTGAAACGCTTGGTAGCTCTGGTTTATGAAAATCAGCCTACAGGCCCATCAATTCTGTCACCTTGGGTACAAACCACACAACAATTGTGATCCTCGTTATTTACCAGGAACGGAGAACTAAACACGTGATGAAGTCCAGGCCTAGAACAATTTAGAAATAGCCTATAAGATGGGGCTGCACTGTACCAAACATGGAGAAACCAAGACCTGCCAGAACTGAGGACGGTGGCTCACTGAACGTACGTGAGAACTGTGAGAAGTTTAGTGCCATTTTCGGTGTCTCAGATTTGCAATAGGATTCAGATATTCAGTTCACAAATGGTTAGTAAACAATTGTTAGTACCGGGCACTGTCTTAGGAGCAGAAAACAGAATCCCTGCTCGCCTTCAGCTTCCACTCTAGCCACGGATAAACAGGAAATGAGTCACTTCCCTGCCTCAGCCTGCATGGCATTTATAGCCTGCAGGGTAGCATCGCTGTCACTTTCCTCTGATGCTTGACTTCATCCTCTGCCAAGTCCAGCATAGAGCAGGCATTCAACAACCATTTGCTGAATCGATGTTGATATTTGGTACCTCTTCTTATGTTAACTCTGCCTTTAGGACATGTGCCCATGGGTTTGGGGGTGCTGCTGTACGTGCCAACCCCTTCTTGGGAGTGAAGACACAGGGCTGACTAACACTGCACTCCCCACTCTGTGGCTTTCTAATCTAGTGGGGAAAGCAGGAAGGCTAGATTAGTGGTAAGAATGCAGCCCTATGGGAGGGCAGGGGAGGAACACAAACTTTGAAGCCATGTGGGCATGGGTGTAAAACCAGTTACTATCAGTAGGGCTTTGGGCAACTTACGTAACCTCTGCTTCCTCAGGGTAAACAGTGGATAATAATATCTATCTTATAGGATTATAGAGAGATTTAAAAGAATATAAATCTTGGTCCACGCTAGGTACCTGGAAAAAATGTTAGTTCTCTTTCGTCCTTGTTCTGTCTGCTCCCTCCCTTGCAGCCCCATTCCAGAAATAAACAGTTAGAGAAGGCTTTGCAGAAAGAGTGATATTCATATTTGGCTTTGAAAAGAACCTTGCCCGTATTGGGAGAATAGAATGCAAACAGAGAAAACCAAATTATAAATAAATTTTTAAAGGGTGTTAAAATATTGGTATTCCCAACAAAAAGAGTAAATAACTATGGACTTTAGTTAATAATAATGTGTCAATATTGGTTCATTAATTGCAACAAACGTGCCACTCTAATGCAAGATATTCGTAATGAGAAAACTGGGGAGAGGGGGCTGGGAGAAAAGGAATATATGGGGACTCTCTGTACTACCTGCTTAGTTTTCCTGTAACCCTAAAATTACTCTAAAAAGAGCTATTAAATAAAAGAAAGTATTGGGATTGCTCAGGGGCCAGTAAGTAGTATATGATGGGAGCACAGCCAGGGTGTGTGTAGGGTGGTAGGAGACACAGCTGGAGAGGTGGTCGGGTCAGACTGAGGAGGAGCTTAAATGCAACATCAAGGAATGTGTATTCTGTCCTACAGACAGCAAAGACCTCTTTAGAGAGGGAACTCGTATGTGATAGCTCTGTCATTTGGAAAGAAAAGGCCAGGGGCAGTGTAGAGGCTGGATTAGAAAGGACAGGATGACCACGACTACTGTAATAGTCCAGACAAGAGGTGTGAGGGTCAGAACCAGAGGTTGAAAACCAAGAGCCAATGGGCCAAAAGTGGCTGCAGATATTTTGTTAGGTCTACACAGTGTTTTTAAACTGTGTAGTTTATGAATTGGGAGATTTCACATCAAAATCATCTCGATTTGCAAGTTCTTTTGAAAAACCAGAAGATCTGGCAATCTTGGGCCCACACTCCTGCAAAGCTACAGTCACCTGGCTGCGGCTGGGGGGCAGCAGCTGGCTCCTTAGGTGAGAAATGCACGCTCAAGTTCACCAGCGTCCCCACCACTGCCGGGTACTCACGGTCACTAAGGTAGAGTGTCAATGTCATTTATCACTGCTCTCATGCGTCTTCCTTTTTAACTTACGGAGAATCAAGAGGAAAATGAAATATTTACTGAACCCAAATATCTATCAAAAGTCTGAAAACAAAGGATGGATCAAGAAGGCCGCGTGTTTATACCCATGCCCTTTCGTTCACTTACTTGCCTGGCACTGATAGGACTCTGAACTTGTGACACTCCCACCCCACCTCAGTCTAAATGATAGCAGCAGCGGAATGAAGAGGAAAGGATACATTTGAGAGACATTTTGGGAGGCTGAGCAGGCAGAACTTGGCAACTGCTTTAGACATGGAGTTGAGGGTCTGGAAACAGACACTTAACTCAGGCAACTGGTGATTGAGGGCCATCCCTCAAGACAGAAATCACAAGAGAATACGTGGCAGGTTCTGGAACGAGGGGGGAGGGGGATTTCATGAGTTTGGTGAGTTAAGAGCCAGTGACGTAGTCTCTACTTACGGTAATGCATTGTACAAGCCAGGAATTCTGAGAGTGAAAAGGTGCTCTGTTAATCACACTGGGACAAGCCAGGACAGTTGGTTACCTCTAGCTATGGTAAGCCCCTCGGAAAAGTTTAGCGTGGATTTAGAGGTATCTTCAGCAAAAGAAACAGGAGAAAGCTTTGTTAACTTAAGACAGTTGTGATCTAGTCAGAAAGGGACCCAAAGCACACAGGGAACAACCAAATGCAAACGAACAGCATCACCCAGGACGTCATCGGCTTGGGACTGCCAAGAGATGAGGTGGTCCTGCCCCGCCCCGAGGAAGGGGTGGTCAGGAAGCAGCTATGAGTGAACTCGATTTCTTGCCCCCCGAGATGCAAGCCTTAATGAATCTCTGGGAGGATCTAAGAAAAGTCTGGAGAGCCTGGAAGTAGTTACCCTCTGCCCGTCCCCATCCCCACTCACAACACAGAGAGACTCAGGGGAGCCCCCAACCATCTGTGTAAAGCATGGGTCCATTTTGGCAGCTTTGAATCTTAAAAGCAACTCCACAAAGCAAATGTAATGCTCTTTGAATAAGTGCCACAGCCCTAAAAAGAGTCATGAGGCAGATCCCTGAAAAAACTTGCACTGCACTAGTAAAATATGTCTGGTTTATGCTGCTGGACTAAAATAGTGACTTGTGTTAGACAAGATCAAGATGATAGATGGCTGTTTGGGAATGAAACGCTGAGATGGGTTTTCCTCTTCACCAA